TTACGAGGAAATTATAATCTGGATTTTCGTATCGGGAAGCAGAATTTCTCTCCTTGTACATCTGGATTTTCTGCTCCTCCAGCATAACCAATTTTTTAACTGCTGTGGCATTACTTATCTTAGAAACTTTTTTAGGAGGGGCCTTAAAGCTTCGTGGTGGCGTAGTTTCTTTCGTTGTGACCGGATGTGAATCAAGAAATTCTTGTTCTGGTTCGTTTTCAGGGGGATCCAATGGGAGCAGGGGAAAGAGCAGGAGTTGTATTCTGGGTGTCGTCATCAAAAAATGTTGTCTCGTTCATGACATTACCTTGCAATTTTCTTTTTTTAATTGTATCGCATCAAAATTCTAGTATGTCGCATCAAATTGTCCTTCCGCGTGAATGCCTTGTCGCATAGGGAACAAGTGAAACTACGCCGTACGGTGTTATTATTCATGATCTGAAAACCGAAACAAATACTTGTAATATTCATATATAAAGCCCAAAGTACCCATGAACTTTTGAGAAAATTACAAGTCACTCTCTCATAAACCATATACTTAAAGTTTTCGTCATGACGAGAAACCTTGCGAAAACTATCCATTTTTTCATAAATTTCCCTTTAAGATCGTAATTCCTTTCTAAAGGGAAATTTCCATATATGCTAGGCATATTAGGAATATAAGTGGCAGTTAGCGGAAAGTTTAGGTACAGTCCTAATCATCACTTTTCTTTATGTTTTTTGGGCCGCTGAACACGAATATGAGGTTTGCTGACAGATATTTTGCCCGGAACATTGTTTATTTTGTGAAAAACTTTAACATTTGGGCACTTTTTTGTTTTTCGGGCAAATCTCGGTAAGTATAGGCTTTTGAGAAAACCCTGCTTTGTAAAATTAAAGATGACAAAGTTTACTACAAGTTTCATACATAATGTTTGTTTCTACGACGAACCGTTTCGCCACTAGATCACACTAAAAAAGGCCAGAAGTACAAACAATATAAAACCCTCGCTAAATGCTGCCGTTTTACATTAGGTTTCCATGGAAACAACCCATGTTACGATAATTTTAACTATTTATTAATGATAATAAACTGAAACACACCTAAAAATAAACAAACTAGTAAGTCCTCTGACCACAAGCCTCCACCTGAAAGAAAAACCCGTCTTTTAAGATTAAATTGGGGAAAATGGTGGAAATGGTGAATTTTTTTTATTGTATCAATTCACTCTCTTCGGGTTGAAGGCTGGAATTCCATCCATTCTTTTTTTGATGGGCCCAAGAGGAGACAAAAATTATCTTCTTCCACATCCTCATTTGCTTCTAAGGCTTCCTCAAGGGTAAGAAACTGAGGAAGTTTGTCTTTGAATATTCTCAGCTGCCTACAGTTTTCTTCTTTATAGCAAGGTAAGGAGTGGTGAGTATGTTGTCGATTAACCTTTTCTTGGTCGATGCTTGGTTTTTGATAGTTGAAAGGTTGATGATCTGGCCATAACTTTTGTGTAGTAGGAGCCCACCATCAATAACACACTGCACTTGACCATGGAAGTTCTTGTTTTCAATGGGGTTAGGGGCTTTAGGCCTTTAAATATTTGATTTGGTTCCTTGTGCAAACCATTATTATCAAACAACGAGAAAGAGTATGGACCCAGTTCGTAGGACAAGAAGTGTTTTAGTTCTTCACCAGAATTCTTAGCGAAGCTTATACGTTGAATTAATGTGTTAGGGTTTACGGGTAAGAATTCTCTACTTTCATCGCGTTATTTATTATGGCAAGTGGCTGGACACGGTCTGCTCGTCTGAATTTGACGTTACCAAAGTTAAATTTATCTACAACTCTTTTAATGTCTTTCGTCCTTTTTTCTCAATCACTATAGCAGTCGACCCTGTGGCCAGCAACATCCTTGAGCTGAGAAAATAAATGTGGGTTTTGTGGGAACGGGAAATGTTCCAGCAGCCAGTCATACATCTTGGCATAGATTTATGAAGTGTGTTTCAGTTCATTATGATGAATAAATAGTTCAAATTATCGTAACATGGGTTGTTTCCATGGAAACCTAATGTAAAACCTTTGTAAAATGGTTAGGGTTTATTTTCATTTTTGGTACTTCTGGCCATATTTAGTGTGCTCTAGTGGCGTAACGGTTCGTCGTAGAAACTAATATTATATAGGAAACTTGTAGTAGATTTTGTCTTCTTTAATTTTACAAAGCAGGGTCTTCTCAAAAACCCATCATAACCAAGATTTGCCCGAAAAAAAGTGCCCAAATTTTAAGGTTTTTCACCAAATAAACAATGTTCTGGGCAAAATATCTGTCAGCAAACCTCATATTCGTGTTCAGCGACCCAAAAAACATTAAGAAAAGTGATGATTAGGACTGTATCTAAACTTTCCGCTAACTTTCCTAATATGCCTAGACTAATATACATAATGTTAAAAATACCTCAGCTGTACTTATTTGTATGTAATTCTTTCAATTTATTACCTTATTATAATCAGGTGTCACTACTTCTATTTATGCAAATTTAAATCTAATCTTTTAATGTCGACAAGTAGTTAAGTTAAATATTTATCTCTTTTTCTTACTAGTAAATTTAATTACCTGGAGTAATTCTGGTTACTACTTTCTACATTTGTTTGAATACAAAGTATGTAACAATAAATATATTTAGTGATACTTACATTTTATGATTGTAAGGTTAATTCAAAATCTCGATACTGCTCTGCACCTATCAACTCACAATTGTAGAAGTGGACTGGTGATCGGTACGTCCGCACTACACGACTAATGGAAGCATAATGAATCCTTCATAGTTTATGTAGGGCTGGGATTTGTTATTTGGAAAGAAGGGAATGAGAGGGCAGTGGATGAGGGGGAGGGGACGAGAGTGGAGATCTCTCATCTTGGCGTCGTTTCTCGTCCTACACTCCAGCAAACATCACGATGTCCTTTGGAAGTGATATTAATGACGAGCTAATCGAGGCTTCTATTTTGGCGGAGGCTGAAGATAATCTCATCAATGACATTGGTGAGACGACTTTAGTCAAAGCCTGCATCGAGGTTGAAGCACGATGGGAACAATCAGTAATGAAGACAATGAGCATGTCGCAGTTGATGTCTGCAATGAAAGATGTAATTTTTGAATGGGAATTACGGGCATATTGTGACACTCACACGCAGGACACAGTAAGAATGGCGTTGCAGCGATATATAAACTTGGACGAAGAGATAAAAAGCCGAGGACTCAAATAGATTTAGTATTAGTAGGATTAAGTTAGATACAATTTTTTAAATGCTTGACTTCCTGGTTCCTCAATAATGTACATTAATAATTATAAAAAAATAAAAACAAACAAACAAACAATCAAACTAATAATTAGTACTATTCCATACTGTCTCAGCTTAGCTAAGACAGTGACGTAATAGTGTCAGTGATGAACCCTCTCTGTTGATTCCTACGCACTAATCCACGTGTCTAGACATCATAAATTATGTTGAAACATGTGGCAAGGCTGGTGAAGGGAGGGATCGTGGAAGTATCCCCTGCGTGGGAATCCACGTGTCTAGACATCATAAATCATGTTAAAACATTTGGCAAGGCTGGTGAAGGAAGGGATTGTGGAAGTATCCCCTGCAAGGGAATCCACGTGTCTAGACATCATAAATTATGCTAAACATTTGGCAAGGCTGGTGAAGGAAGGGATTGTGGTAGTATCCCCTGCAAGGGAATCCACGTGTCTAGACATCATACATTATGTTGAAACATTCGGCAAGGCTGGTGAAGGAAGGGATTGTGGAAGTATCCCCTGCAAGGGAATCCACGTGTCTAGACATCATAAATTATGTTGAAACATGTGGCAAGGGTGGCGAAGGGAGGGATTGTGGAAGCATCCCCTTCTATCTTTGTGAGAAGTTCACAACACTGGAGGTGAGGGTTACCTTCCACCGCTTACGCCATGTGTATTAATTGGTAATTACACATTGTCGAAAAGAACTAATTGTAATTACTTATAAAAAAATGTTGATAACTCATTACAAAAAAAAACTAATTATTAATCCTCATAACAAAAAAAAACTAATTGTAAATACTCATTACAAAAAAATAATATTAATTGTAAATACTCATAAAAAAACTAATTGTAATTACTAATTGTAATTACTCGTTGTAATTACTAATTACCTCCGGTCCCCCTCCGCCCCATATACAACTGAGTAATTACAACTACTGATGTTAGCCGAAGTGTCAGGCAGTTCTTAAGTTATGTAAACAGATTGTTATCGCTATAAAAAATGACTGAAATTTGTAAACGTATTGGCAACCATGGGTAGCACAATGCAGACTACATTATCATTGACGAAGATCAACATGGACAACCTAATGCGGCTATAAGTGGGGAACATTTGTAGAATACACTAAAAAACCAGATCAGCTTTTGAAAAATTATAAACTATTTACAAGAAATGTTGATTATATGGAACTGTTAGATACGTAATCTATGAGTTGAGTCTTTTAAACTCATCGAAAATTATGACTTTTATTCGTTTTTAAATAACTTATTTGTTTTTAAATAACTACTTTACTTCTTAGATTTCGAGCAACATGCACACTAGTACTACTAAATCTGTACAAATACTTATATATTTTCACCAACTAAAGGACTTTATCACTAGGCATAACCTCTAAGAGAGGTTATGTTTCTGTTTATATCCACTCATTGCCACCTAAATACAGTATAATCAGCTGATTGGTGTCCGGTAAAACTCATTACAGTACAGTAGTAGGCAATAAAACCCCGTTTGAATAAGCTGGCGGCAAACAGCTGTTTTCTGGACCAAATCCTTGCGTGGGAAGTTCGTCAAAATAATGTAGTGTGGGAGCAGTTGGAAATCAGCAGCCAAACACTAGAAATACATTTTTAATTAAGTAAGCCATAAGTATCAAAAGCACAGGGTTTCCCAAAATTCAGAATAAAATGACTTAACTAAACATACATTACTGATTTTTTTTTAATGTTACAGTGACTGGTGTGAACCTTCATCTTATTACTCCACTTGTAAGCATAGTCTGTATCTTCTACACAACTGTGGTAAGTTTATGTGTAAATATCAGAATTTGATGAGATATATACACATTACGTTGCCAATACATCATTATAGCAATAGGAGAACGTGACTGGGTATTTAATTTAATGGGATATTTTATTAAAATGTCATAGCCTGTATTAGAGGGGGTTATGCAAATATGAATTTAGTTTTATGACTGTGGGATGGGTGACGTGCCTTGACTTAAGTCCATGCTGATCTGACCACATGTATAATTATTTTTCCATGACCGTTCTTGTGCCTTTTCTTAATATCCATTGTGTATCATACATGTAGTTGAGTAGCTTGTGAAAGGAGCTAAATTCTTTGGTATGGCTTTGGTACCTTTTACGTTTAGTTTTTTCTCTTATCCTGTTTTATCTTTCCCTAATACATTTTTTACTGCGGAGAACATTTTTGTAACATTGCTGTGCTCGTTGTTTAAGTTCACTTTAGGTGCACACCATGTTGCTTTTGTGTAATTCCAGGATGTGATGAATGAATGCGTTATGCCTACCACTTCCAGAGAGTTTACTTTTTGACAGAGTTGGTCTTTCAAGCTATGTTCACACTTTATTGAATTTATATTCGACTATTTTTCTACTTTCGTTTCAATTGTCGTTTTAATGCACGCAGGTGAAGCATGCCTCTAGAGCATGCTGAGTAGGTGTCCTCATTTGTGTTCTGTAACGTGCTCCTCGCAGAAAGTTTAAGTCGTGGACGTTTGATGACATGTTTGGAGCTTAATATAAATGCTTTGTTTAAAAATTTTACTAGAATGTCTCGATATAATAATTGTTATTACCTTTTTGAAAATGTTGGACCCAAAAAATAAAAAACCCGACACCTGCTTCAGGGAAGCAATACTTGCACAAATCAAATTAGCGATTTGCCTTAGATTTCTTGCTACTAGGGACATCTCTTTGATGTACTTATTCAATACAAAGTATGTCTTAAGAGTAAGATTCTTCATCAGTGGTAGCCATATTGGTTTTTAGTCCCATAAGAGCAATGTTAACTTTGTAACAGGATTTCTAAAAAACCTGTTGTGATAACATAATGATTGAGGTGTTAAAGTTAAGATTTAGTGGTCCTCAAGGGAGTGATGATTTTAGTTTTGTCATTTTCCCTCCACTTAATATGTTAATGATCATTAACTAAGCCTTCAATTACAAGTTTTTTTCTAGAAAAAAACAAAAACAAATATTTTGAATGTCATTTCTCGATTCTCTACTCTATGCTATAAACCGAATCGTAAATTTTCTAAACTATATCATTATATATAACACCGGCATACTGATTCTAATGTATGTTCTGTCAAATTTAGCATTGCTCTTATAGTACTGAAATCCAAAATGACTACCACTGATGAAGACTTATGGGGAACAGTCGAAACCATCCACTTGTAAATTACATCAACTTGACAACTTGGCTTGGAATCGAACCAGCGACCTTCAGATTGAAAGATGTGCACTAACTACTCGACTTTCCAGAACTAACCAAACACTAAAATGTAATTTCAGAATCCACTTATTTCAACTCACACTTTTCTTTAGCTTATGCTGTTTAATAACTCGGCAACAGCACGTCTTGGCATTCTCATCACATCGTAATACCTGGATTTGGTTTTCAGGGAGGACTGAAGGCGGTGGTATGGACAGACACGCTACAGACCATCCTGATGCTGGCAGGTGTAGTTGTGGTCCTAGTGATGGGTACGTGGCATTTAGGAGGGCCTGGTGTGGTTTGGGAGCGAAATAGATTGTCTGGAAGACTGGAATTCCTTAAGTATGCGGTAAAAACTTTGTTAGTCATACTAAATCAATTGTGCATGATAATGTGTTTCACTGACAAGCGTGGGTGTGTTTGGTTTTCAAATTAGTTTTTTAACTATTCTTAATGTATACAGCAGATTGGACATATGTAGTTTAATTGGACCGATTTATTTTGATATCTGAATACCGAAAAAAGAAAATATCATTCTATAGAACTTTGCCAATATCCGTGTTTTACAAAAGATGGATTTATTTAGTACATTTTTAATGCCCTGTTTTGTCATCCAAGTAATAAATTCATACAATTTTTACAAAAGGCGTATTTTCCAAGTGCGTAACGTTTCTTCTAACCTGAAGTAGACTTGATTTTGCTATGGAGGAGGTGTAATATCAAGAATATACACCATTTCTACATATTTCATATACATATTTCATTTTTTTGTGGTTTTCTTTATGTTGGTAGGCTCCACAGACGATGTTCGCGATTTTTAGTTGAGCCATTCAGATTAGGTATCAAGGGCGACTCTTTTTCAACGTAGTTAACTAATTCCTCTAATAGTCCCTTCCGCTAGCCTTTGCACGTAGCATGCGTGTTTCATAATCTAGAAATAACCGTTAAAGAGGTTTATTCCGATTTTCTTAAGTCTAGGCTATTCCAAATTGAATGATTTCCGTTACAAATGTAGAAAGTAGTTGTTTCACACTTTCTGGCAGTTAAAATTACTTCTCTTGACTTTGTAACTTAAAATAATCGTTTATTTATTTAACTGAGTTACTAAGCTTGCATAAAGAAACTAGTCACTTAACACTACCATCGGGCGTTAAAGGCCTTCCCAGCTTATAAATTCAACCACCAGACGATAATGTTTAGATATCTATTTCGACGCGTGCTGCGTCCACAATTAAAGCCGCATGTATTGTTCTACTGCACTTACGATAATAACTGACGCAGCTGATAACAACAAATCATTATCAGACGACGTCTCAGCGATGTGCGACACGAGCTTCGTTTTACACTAATCGTAGGTTAAGCCGCATGTCACGATGCAGTTTGCAAGACGGTGATAATTCATTGATAACTATGTCGTTTAGCCGCTGTCGGTATATTGGGGATGCGGCTTTACAACGTGGCCTGGCAGGCACCTTGCTGTATTTAACACTTCCTACATATGTTACAGCACGGACCTTGACATAACCACCAGACACACGCTGTGGACTATGTTGTTCGGCAATTACTTCTACTGGTTGGCCGCCTGCTCTGTCAACCAGGCAATGGTGCAACGCTGCCTGGCCATGCCTACCCTGAGAAAAGCTAACTAGTAAGTATTAGTGTTGGAGATATTGCGACGGATAAAAAGAAAACATTTTGACTTTCTAATATTAGAAATATTCATCCAAATGGCAGCTATCTTTACGATTGGAACACTCGGTATTTTATGGTCTTTTACAGAATTTATATGCGATTTCAAGACTCATTTATTCTTTGCATTTTCTCTCTAAACTTACTATTAGGAGTTACATGATGGAGACTGTACACCACAAGCCAGCCATCTTTCTCAGGTGTAACACCCTTTTAACACCTAAACTAGTAGCTTTAAAAAAAAAATTGAAGAATAACCGCGTTTTTTTAATTGCATTTGCATTATAAAACAATCATAAAATACAGGTTACATAAGAAATAACAAAGTTGTCAGCTATATTGGAAAATCGTGGACATATTTAACAAATTCTCAAACATCTTGTATATAAAACTTGCTTGTAAATAAAGGCCTTTTTATTTATTTATTTATTTATCTTAAAAAAATAGGGGAGTGCCCCATAATAGTTTAACTCTATTTCTCATAGTAAAAAAATATCTATTGGTTTACTTTAGGTAAGACACCATGTATATTCTATTAGCTTAATCCAACAGTTATATAAATTATTTAATAATAAAGGTACAAACCTGAGTAGGAAATCCACATAGTTTGTAATTTATTAGTCCTATATCAAAAGCACTAGTAATATTGATTTTGCGTTATATCTTAAATGCAGTAAATAACTAATTAGGTCGTGAGAAAAAGGCTATAAATTTATCACAACATAGAATATCAGTACTTTAAATACAATACATTTGCATTGTTTTCTTTTAATATTCAACCTGCTATATCGTAGTAAGAAAAATACACTCTAACAACATTTTTAACTATTTATTTCACCTCTGTGTTCTTAAAATATCATACGAAAAGATCCTTAATTCAGATGTAATAAATAATCTTATTTGAGTACCTAATAGAACTTTAATGCATTTTTGTAAGGGGAATATTGGAGCGAACCTCTATTACTGATGTTATGGCTTTGTGCAATTCGTTCACACTGCATTCTACAAATTTATCCTATCAGGAGGAGGATTCTCATTTTCAATTTCACTTATATGATCCCAATTTATGAATAAGAGAATGAAGGTTTGTTTGATCACATTTATGCTTGTTGCTAGCACAGTGCTGATTCTGGCCGTGGGTATCATGGGGTTGGTGTCGATGTGCTGCTACACAGGTCTTGTTCTCTTCGCATACTTCCACGACTGTGACCCCGTCTCAACCAAGGTCAGGAGAAAAACTGTCGCATTTTTATTACGCATCTTTTTTCAGGTTTTATTATAATTCAAGTACTTTTGACGTCCATCTCTAGAAAGTATTTTATTGGAAGTTTATCTTTGGTTTATGTCATATGAGTGATTATTGCAGATATTTCTTTTGATATCAACACAATAATATTTATAATAACATTTCTAATTTATAATATTTATTATAATTAGTTAAAACTAGCTGTGTGCCCGTTCTACGCACGGGGATCTTATAGTAGTCAGTTGAAACCTTCTTATATTAAGATTAAGAACAGCAGTTAGTTTGCATATTTGCAGATATGCTGGCAAAACTATTATATATAAACCTTCGCAAATACAGTATCTGACAGTTCAAGCCAAAATAAATGCTTCGCAATTAAATGTCACCGGGATCGTTATGGTCCATATGTCCAATGATTAAACTAAAAAATGTTTTATAGATCCATGAAGTGTAGCCCTAAAGTAGGCCTATAATTGAAAGTTACTTTCCACATCGGTTAACTTAAACGTATTTAAAGTACTACCTCAACCTCACCATTTAACACTTTATTGTGGTTGACATTTTCAGTATCAAAGGTGCTCTTGTCCATTCCGTGAAACACTGAGAAATAAGGACATTAATGCGTTACCAACAGACATACACACAACAATCCAATAAAGGCCACGAACTATTGATACATAAACAATATAAAGGCGTAAACAATTCATGATGGTTTGCCCAACAAATGTTTTACTCAAATAGGTTATCATTTTCTTAGCATACCGGGTAAGCTAAGATTTGGAATCCAGACAGAAAAAGCAAAACTTATACAGAGTTAAGACGTCACTTAAATTGAATACGGACGGCTCTAATAAATAAGGTGCAACACCAACGATAACTAATTTGTAAACTACAGTGATGTGTTGGTACCTACGTAAAAATGATTCTAGCAGCTACCAACGGTTCTAAGGAAAAGAACCAGTACCTACGTAAGAACCTACCTAAGAACTATAGTACATCCGACCAATTAAATACATTAATATCTAGTCCCGAGGTTATTAATCTCTTGCTTTTGGATTTTCTCGTAAAAAGTTATAGCGTAAACTTATCGGTGTCAGTTTTAAAAAAAAAAAACAACCTTACCCAAACAACTTTTTGTTATTTAATAGATTACGCATTCTCTAAACAATGATTAGTATATCTTTTAACATTAGAAGGAAATGTGACGAAAATCACACAATGTTGGGGTTTTGGTCATTTGTAATTATATTTCTTAAGTAGGTAGGCCATGTATTCTATGGAAAAGTACCGGTATCAAGGATCGTCGTCAAAAAGGTTGTTATGAATAAATATGTAGGCTTACGTACCCAAGATATGAGCTATGGGCCTATTGGCTGTATGGTCCAGCGATTGCATCACACGGTGAGTAGAAACAGAAAGTGACACATTGGAAAAGCGAGTTTAGCACTTCCTCTGTTAAACCTCTGTTACAATCACCCACTGCAGTTGTGATTTTTTACTTTACACTTTACACAACCGCCATTGAAGCGCCGTCAATGAGTGGAAACCTTTTTTGTAAGCTATTGGCGACGATTATTTCAGTGTCCAGCCCTATACAACACTGATTCAAGGTCTTCTTTCTGGTTGTCAAAACTCAAGAAACATTTTATACTCAAAGAATTTCTGGTTCCGATTTGGACGATGTCTAGTTATTTAATTTCATTTACGGTTACACTATTAGACTATATTATTGCACTTGCGATTAATTAAATCCGTTATGTAAGAAAAACGTTTTTAATCTCACTTGGTTGGGATTTGCTTTCCAAACGTGATTCGAAATGGTTGCGGTATTTGTAAACAACATTTGTAAACATATCATTGACAGCTAGAAAAAATAATCTTGATCCGAACAGCTGTTCGTTATTTCATAGACGATTATGTGATAAAAATTGAACGAAAATTTGACAAAAATCGCACAAAACTGCATTTTTGAACGTCCGTAATTTTATTTACGTAGTAAGGCTATATTTAAATCACTAAAGACACTCTCGCCAATCCAGTGAATACATTAAAATGACTTGGATCTTGATAGGTACTCTGGTTTTCACGGAGAAGATTGCGTAAAATGCCATCTTGAGTGTTACAGACAAAGGGAAAGACAGACAGACAGAAATAGAGATAAGACTCGTTTCTGCTTCTTTAATGTATAAAACGTAAAAATAACCTAAAAGTATATAATTCTGAGCAAAGTACAGACAAAACTCTAATTTTATTTATATAGATTTGCCCTTTATGACATTAAAAGTCGTATTTTGAACAACTGGGTCTGAAGTTTCGTACAAGTATTTCACATGACAATAATCTCGCAACTCTCGATTCGCCACGAGCAGAAACGTCCAATCCTTGTTAACCACATTTTTTAGTTTTTTTTTTTTTGTTTTTTTTTGCTTTCTTATAAAACGACACGCATTTTTAGATGGAAAATAACTAATTATAAAGTCGAGAGGCCTCGGCAACATTAATTAATAATAATAATAATAATTCGTTTATTGTAGCCGACAAAGATACACTGTACTACACACGTCTTTTATATACTGTAATACTTAAAACCCTCTACATCTTTTGCTGAACTTTAACCGCGTAGTTGCTGTGCAAACCTTCTCTTTGGGCCATTTTAAACCGGCGTTTATGTGCAGCCATTCTAACAATCACTTAGAAGATAAAATATTTTTGTAGTATCCAGTCTATGGAAAATACAATCTCCCTCTCCGTTAGAATGCCAGTGTGTAAATAATCCGAATTTCGGGTTGTGTTTCGCCGGTTTGGTAGTAAGAACTCTCCAGTTTTCACCTATTTTCACAGATGATCGGCAAGTCAGACCAGTTGTTGCCGTACTTCGTAATGGAGATCGCCGGTGCAGTGCCGGGCTTTCCTGGAGTCTTTATGTCTGGTGTGTTCAGTGCTGCTCTCAGGTGAGCTACACAAATCTAAAATGCGTAAGAAATTCTCGACCTTGACCAACTGTAAACACGACATGTACTCTGACGACTTACAAATTTATGACTATTTTACTGCAAACAACGAAAATGACTGTGTCAGAAGGATCAATGAAGATGTCAACCGAATAGTACTTGGACTGAGAATAATTGACTGAGACTAAATAACGAAAAGACAAAACCGATTGTAATCTGCCACCCTCGACTTCGCACTTTAATTGACTTACACTCCATAAACCCAATCACAGTGAGTGGCAAAGCACTTCCCTACTACGACAAAGTAAAGAATCTTGGCATATCTTTCAACTCTTCACTTACTTGGGACACATCAGTTACGGAGAACATTTTGCCACAAAACTCCAAACTTTATTTGATCATTTGTACTACCCCACTTCAGTTACTGCAACTCATTAATCAATGACATGACTGTGATTCAGGCGGGTATGCTCTAGCGGTTTCAGAATTTTTGTTTGAGATTTTTCTATGATCTGTGGCGTTAGGAGCATATCACGCCATACTATCTTGAGGCAAACATCTTGAAATCCAATTATGAAGGATCCATCAAAATGTTTTCATTGGTTTTTTTTATCAGGCTCTCCAAAATATTTTACATCAGATTTTAAATTTGTGTCCCAGGGTAGTTCACGAATTTCTCGTTCTTCTTTGATCACATTGTGTATACTTCATCATGTGACCGCCGCTTATAACAGGGGTTTTGTTGTTACCGCTTGCCGTCTTTGGAATGGACTACCCCTGCACATTAAATCACTTGAAAAACGTTCCCAGTTTGTGGTGGCACTAAAAAATCTCCACTTTAAGCAAATGGTCTCGGCTGGCGTGTCCTAGGGCTTCTGGGTCTTTGCGCGATTGCTGGTGCGTATGCGTGTAAGAGTGTGAACGTGTATTTGGTTATTTCTATTTAAAATTATTATTATTATGTTAAATTGCATTTTTGTTTAACCTGTTCTTGATTTGTTAAATACGTAGATTTTTTATTAGATTAAGAAATCTCATTGTATTTTTTTTTTTTATTTACGTTTGTCACGTTAAGTGTAAGAAAAAGCCATGTGGCCCTAACTTTGCCTGGTAAAATATAGAATCTTTCATTTCATTTACTTTCATTTGAAGGAAGTCATCTTTCCGTCTACACACAAGTTTGTCTCGTTTATCACAGACACCTCTGTGAACTGAAAAGTGCACGCATGACACGTCCGGAGGGTTGTGTGTAGTATCTCATGCGAATACTTATTTTCTGTTTAGTTGTAATATAATCAAAACCAGCTTCAGGAACCAGCTGGAGGATCGAAGCTCACTATGAAAGCAGTTGAATGTGGAATATTAACAGATAAACAGTCATATAAACAATATTTTGTCCATGACAATATACACCAATATTTTGCATTGGTAATAAGTGTAAAGATGATTTCCTTAAAGGGAGTTCATATCTCAGTAATTGATATGAATGATCTTTCTTTAATTCTCATAATTAGAGAGTGTACACTTTTGATCTCTATGATCTTTATGATTTTTATGATCTTGCAGCCTCACTAACTGTTGTGCCGAGCTTTGCTCAGGGAGATGGGTCGGGTTCAATCACAAATACTTTCCTTTCAACCTTAAACTTCTATAGCAACCGGATCTGTGGTGCTAGCTCGGTTTAGGGACGCCACTCTGTTTGGAGATCTATCTTAAAGGTTCACAACGCAGAGAAAAACTCTTCTCGTGGTTGCTAAGTTAGTAAGGCAGAGGGTTATACCCTAAATTGACTCGAACTCAATGTCTGATGCCGTAACATCCATTTCCCTAATAGGTTCAGTCTGTCTAGAGTATCAACCACAAATAAATATTCAAATACACAGTACCTAATATTTTTCAAATTCGAGAAAATAGTGATCAATTACTTAGGACTAAGGCTCCAACATGAAATTATTTTACCCCTTTAAGTTAATGCCTCTCAATTTAAGTTTAAAATTTACTGAAAAGAATTGGCTTAAGCCACACTAGCAATTTGTTGATTGGTTGCCTACTGACCTAGACAAGCAAGGAGATCAATGAAAAGAACATTTCTGGAAGAATACAATTATCTTTAATCAATTCTTTGTTTAAGACACTTTTGCTGAATCGGACAATGTACAAGAGTTAATGGCAAACAAAAAGTACTCTAAATCAGAAATCGTGTGCCAGATATATATACGAAATCTCAATCAAACAATCAAAGATGGCGGGTTCCCTTTACCCAGTTAATGGGTTATACCTATCACATGAGATATCTAATTAAATGGACCCTTTGAGACCAGTAATATTCCTAAAATCTAAACAACTTAATTATCTAACAAAAATGAGCTGACGGTGGCCACCCGCTGAAATAACAAGTGCATAAACGAAAAATAATATACATGAATATACAAAAATATATATGTATAGGAACATCAAAAATAGGCCTAACCTATCTATTACTAATTCCCACTCCCTCCAACCAGATGAATTGACACAACAATCCGTAGATCCCGGAAAATCCAAATGTGCCTAAGTTCTGGGTCCGTCGCACTAAGGTCCACTGTTATGATAGGCTGTCCAGCAACCAAATTAACTGGGGTTTCTTACAAGTGATGTTTACTCTAATGGTAAGTTTACTGTACAAGTGATCACTTATCGGAATTGAAGCGAAGTCCCTCAGACTCAAAGAGGGGGTGTGTGTTCCACGAGTCTGCTTTAGTCCCAGGTAGCCCTAAGTATGGCCGTGTCTGGAATAGGCCGCTCTCCACGTCCCTTCACCAGTCTCTTCGCAGTCCACAGGTGAATTCTCGAGGCACGTCTCCACGGCAGTAGACCAGAATACCAGCCCTATATAAACCCCAAAACATAATAGTATGGCGTATACACAACATTTACATAGTGGGGGGCCCACTGTGTAGGCCTTAGGCCTATTTTGAATTATTACAAATAAAATGTAAATTATATAATATAATCTAAAGTAAAACGTGAAATTAACAGGAGACTCAACATTTAAAATAATGAAAGAATTTAAAGACATATTCATATTACATTAGGTTGTAGAGCCTTCTTTTATTTACACAAAATTCCAAGTTAGAGCAAGGAGTTACGGTATCGCTCCGAACTAACAAAATCAGTGTCGGCTTATGAACAAAATATACTCAGCGTCTTATGTCTTTCAGAAATTGACTCAGTTCAGCTTAGGCTTATCTCTCTTGTGATATTAAACTGAAAAAGTACAATAATTGATCTAGTAAAATGGCAACATTATTGAAAAGAATACTAAACCTAACCTAATCTAGAATTACATACTCTTCTTGCACAACAGAACCAGTCTAATACTTACTAGCCTTGAGCCCAAGAAATGGGGCCTTTTAAGAACACTTGGTTTGTCCAGTTGAATAGGCTAGGCCTAGGCATAAAATTCAAGTTTACAAAATTATATTACCTAAAAATTTACTACTTGATGAATTGAGGCAGACAACAAATCTAGGCTATTAGTATCCTTGGAGTTGTCTTAATTATTCCCAAAAGTAAAACTTAAAAACATGTGCGTCCCACCTTGTAAATTTACCAGAGGCCTATATTACACATTTTAAACAAAACAGAAAAATTAATTAGCCTATCGGAAAACATTGTTTGGTTAATATTCTACATATTTCCCTCTGAAATATCACCTGAATCAAGGATATATCTCTCAAAACTACATTCTCACCAATCTTGGTTAGAACCAGACATGAATGGAATGTGAAGCCGAAACTTGAACTTAATTTTAGTTTTCCTTTAAATTAAAATTTAAAAATGATAATATGAAATGGGAAAAATAAGTTAAAAGACGAATTAACTTATTTCTCTGCCTTACCTCCAAAATCAGCAATTTGGCGCTTTTCTGAGGGCTTTCTTCTAGAAGTTCAATGTTCCATAATCAAAATGGAAAAGGGCTAAAACTAGCCGGGCGTCAACTCTAGTTGAGACCCAGCCCGTCTGTTAGCCTCAAATCATGATTTTTCTCTTGCTGTTGTCAATACCTCTTGTACGGGCATTGAGTATTCTTACAACCGACAGGGGTTTTTTTTTGTCATTGCATGAGCGCTATTATATTATACAATGCTAAAGAATTTTGTTGGGTGATCAGTCCAACCTCCAGTGGTCGCCCACAATCGGATTGTTACAATCTTTAAATCTTAAACTCTTTCATGAAAGTTTAAAGTTTTCATGATTGAGTAAATCCAGTGATTGGCATTCATTATTTTCAACTTTGTTTTGTATTATTCCAATTTTTTTTTAGAATAGTTGTAATTTTGGAGTATTTTCTATAATAAGGCTGCGATTAATAATAATAATAAAATAGATTGTTTACAAAATTGCTGATTTTACAATTGTGTAAACCAAACATTCGATTTCGAACCATGAATAGTTTTTGCTACATGAATAATAAATTTTGCTTTACATAATTTTGTGTTTTAGTCAGCGAGAGATCGTTATTCACGCCCACTCCAGTGTGTTGGTGGCGCGTTAAGAGGCCCTTGTTCTGTTCAAGTACCCGCTTTCGGCTCCTTGACGAAACATTATCATAATTTTTCACTCAAGCCAATTGCGCTAATGAACTATAACTAGTACTTGTCCTTTTTACGAACACAGGATTTAGAAAAGAATGCTAGGTATTTCGAAGCAATGATAAAAACAGTTTCCCTTTAACATTATATTACGCATTAAATTCGTAGTAGAAAAATCTTCTTAACTTTTGAAAAACGTGGGTACATCTTAGTATACTAATGAACACCTTAACCTAGTTTTGAGATATTTTACATCAAACCATTTCCTGATTTCGTACAAAAGAGTCATTTAATATATTGAATTGTCTCTATGTGCCTAAGTATTTTATTTATTGCTCATACATTCAAATATGTTTTCCATTCAGTTCCATGTCTACGGGCCTAAACTCTATGTGTGGTGTGATATACACAGACTTCGTCACACCCTGTTTGAGGAGACCCATCTCAGAGGCGAGGGCCTCTTGGATAATGAAAGGGATAGTCCTCACCATTGGCGTCCTCTGTGTCGCCATGGTCTTCTTAGTGGAACAGCTGGGCGCGATCATACAGGTAAACCTTGCGAACATTGGGCAGCTGTAAACAGAAAAGATTTTCAAGCGTGGAAAGTAATTCAATAATTTATCTTAGGTGCTGTAGCTAGAACTATTGAATAGAGTTTGTGCAGTTACAATTGTCGAAATATTAACCTAAACATGAGAGGGCGATCCTGTCCCAGATACAATGTTCAGTGCATCTTGTCATTGCAATACTTTATTGTAATTATGATTCTGCATTAAATATATTCTATCTAATTCAGGCTGGCAAGAGTCTCGGGGGAATTACTACAGGAGCTCTACTCGGAGTATTCTCTCTAGGGATGTTTTTCCCATGGGCCAATTCAAAGGTACGCCTTCAAGCATGACAGTTGTACTGAATTACATATTTGATGCAGCACACTACCGTTTCTGTTTGTTTTATTAACGCAAAAAATCTATACTTATTTTGTATAATGGAAATGTAATAAACATTTGTTTGTATGACTATTCGTTTTGTATTGATGAGTGTTGTTTATGGCAAACAAATTGGATATTTTAATGGTTCGTCTTTTTTGCTATTTTGAAAATACATGATATAATATACACAGGTATATTACAGGTTATAATATACAAATTAGGAAAAAAATATAAAAATATATAATACAATGTTTTATAAATATATAAAACATCTTGTTTTCCCATCTGAAGAATGAAACAATCCCAAACAAGTCAGGAGGACTGACAGGGATATGATGACATAATGTAACTGACTCCTCCCAATTTATTTCAGTTTAACAAAATGGATATAACACAAATAACCACTAAGAATTGCGTTATAAACATTACAAGTTTGTTATTTTGGAAAGTAACTATCAGAGTTACTTATTGCAACAAATTAAAAGATATAGTTACTTAATAATATAGCTATTTGCAAATATAAATGATATTTAGAGGAGGAGTAAACTATTTTTACCAATTTAATTTATAAACGACCTTTTCAACAACTATAAATACAAAAATATTGTTTGCTTAAAGTTATGTTGCTCTAACCTGTGGGTACTCAGAGAGCTGTTGCTTGTGGTGTTATAACGTTCCCTCACTCCACAGGGTGCTCTGGCTGGAGGTTTGGCGTATATTGCTGACTGTGTACCCAGAGAGCTGTTGCTCGTTGTGTTATAACGTTCCCCCACTCCACAGGGTGCTCTGGCTGGAGGCTTGGCGTCCATTGTGTTCCTGGCTTGGCTGACTATGTACCCAGAGAGCTGTTGCTCGTGGTGTTATAACGTTCCCCCACTCCACAGGGTGCTCTGGCTGGAGGTTTGGCGTCCATTGTGTTCCTGGCTTGGCTGTCTGTGGGTACTCAGAGAGCTGTTGCTCGTGGTGTTATAACATTCCCTCAGAAGCCAGTCTACACCTACGGCTGTCCAGAGGACATCCTGAACCGGACAATTGCCTTCGTCACACATCCCCGGGTACTGTAAGTGTCAAATATTTGTAATTATTTTTATGAAACGATTCTCATTGTAGTTTACCCTCTGAATAAATAAACTAATTACAATTTTAACGTATTAAAAATGTAATTTTTTTAAATACAATTTATTAATTTGAGAAATGAATCGCAAGTTTGAGCTCTTTAGCATATTTTTTTTCACTTTAAGTCAAATTTAATTAGAAAATTTCCGAATTGATTCAGTTGATTACACATATTTATTAACAAACGAATCGGGTTTTTCATATTTTTAAGGTTTTCTATAATTTAACTTAAAATTCTGAAAAACTACTGTAATATGTTGTTAGTATATTGAGTTTCATAACTATTTTTATTAGTCGTGACTGCTTATCAGCCTAATGGGATGTCACACATTGTAATGCGGGTGGTGAATGTTTTTAATAAATTTCTTATTGCGGGTAGTATTTCATGTCCCTTAGACGTTTTTATTTCAAACATAATGCTGTAAATATGGGGTATATACATATTTCCCCGGTAATAGTATATTCCGTTACTAGTCTTAAAAACATGTGTGTTTACCGGACTAGTGTGGTCGTTCCCGTGCGAGACGTATTCGAGTGCGGTATTACCATACGAGTCCGGTAAACACATTTTGGATGAGGGACGTACGAAATTTTACGGAATACCACTCAGAGCTAACTTAACAATAAAAAAATCTGTACACATCCTTATATATTCTCACCGACTTAAGGACTAACAATCACTACTTATGTACTTAGAGGTTATGTTTTTGTTTATAACCACTCATTGCCAAATATAATTAGCTGGTTGATGTCCGCAAAAAACTCATCACGTACGAAATTCCATTTGATTAAGCTGGTGGCAAATAGCTGTTTTCTGGACTAAATCCTTTCGTGTTAAGCTCGTTAAAACTGTGTATAGTGTGGCGTGACCCTGATTAACGGCTCAAGTTATGGATCAAGTTGTTCCTTGGTTTCCTTGGCTGCTTGGTTTCGGTCAAGCTTTGTTTCACGACCCTGCCGCCTTCTGGTTGCTGGTTGGTCTAGCAGCTGTGCTGCATTTAGAGCTTCGATGGCTGCTTCAATTTCATCATCTATGGGTGGGACATCTTCATTCTTCCTATTACAAAAGTTGTGGAGAACCGCAGTAGCAACAATGCTACCTTCGATCCGGTTTAACTTAAATCGAATCCCTAGGGAAAGCACAGGGAATCGACGTTTCCACACCCCGTTACACCTTTCAATCGGATTTCGGGTTCTCACGATTGACTCTTGGAATAGGTTTTCCTCTTGTGATGTGACAGAGCCTAATGGGGTGATTAAATAGTTAGCACAAGCGTAGTCACTATCACCGACCAACAGACCATTTCCATACACGCCTGATTCAAATTCAACTCGTATTCTGGAGGAGTGAAAGATGTGCGAGTCATGGGTTGACCCAGGCCATCGAACAACAATGTTACTTATTACTAGATTTGCATCACAGATAAGCTGAACATTTATAGGAAATATACCCTTTCTATTCCTATACAGTTCTGCGTTGGGACCACCTGGTGATTAGATTTTTAATTATCCACAATCAAATGCTCCCAAACAATTAGGAAAACGTGCTTAAAAAAAGCACACACACTTTTTGCCTTTTTTCGGTTCTTTTCACTCGCATGCATCATGATAGTGGGGTGCACAGATGGAGCCTCCCCGAAGATTGTGACCATTACACGCTAAGAAGGACATCACAATCGGGCTCACCCCGGGCAACGTTTCCGTTTCAGTGGCAAATCCTTCTACAACCGGAAGACTTCGAAAAATGAATCCGCCTAAACGGTCTTATTCAAGGCCATTAGTAACGATCTCGATTAATATCGAGGGAATATCGAAAGACAAAGAAGTATTACTGTCTGATATGTGCAAGACGTTCGAATGCGACTTCCTCCTTGTGCAAGAAACACACCGGGCATTTTAAAACCTAGACCCAACATAGAGGGAATGAGACTGATTCTAGAGAGACCTCATGATCAATATGGTAGCGCTGTTTTTGCCAGGCCACACATTGACATCACTTCATCTTCGCTGACTGAGAGGAACAATACTGAGATACTAACGGCCAGACACCACAGTACAGTATCACCTCTTTGTATAAGCCTCCCGAATCTCAGTATGTATTTACAGAGCCCGATAATCTATGCTGTGATGACATTAATTTCGTCTTGGGGGATTTTAATTGTCAGAGCATTGCTTGGGGACACAGAGAGACAAGTGAAAATGGGACAAAACTTGAAACCTGGGCTGAGACAAATGACCTGCAGCTCATCCACGATTCTAAGCTCCCCTGCTCCTTTAACAGCGGTAGATGGAAGAGAGGTTATAAATCCTGACAACATCTTTGTGAGCAGCAGGATTGCCTCTCAGTGTGAAAAGTCTGTAGGTGATCCGATTCCCCGAACTCAAAACAGACCTATAGTATGCACTGTTAGTGCTGTTGATAAACCTGAAGTTGTTCCTCTAAGGTGCAGGTTTAATTTCAAAAAGGCCAACTGGACGGGTTTTAGGGAGATCATTGACAGAGAAATCGCTAATAGCCCTCCACAACCTGATATGTATGACTCCTTCGTCAAGCTTGTCCAGCAGGTTTCCAATGTGTTTCAGTGATGAGTCTGGGCTTGTCATAAGCCAACGCCCAAACAGAATTATTGCTCGATAACGTTTTAAGCATACAGGGTGTTTTTTTAAAAACTTGCATCTTTATTTATGTAAAAACCGCAATAGATAGAAATATGCAGTTTGCGGGAATCATCTATTGACGTAGGGGGACCAATTGTTTTGAATTCAACGTTACATTCACATTCCCCCCCTTTACCCCCCTGCCCCCAACTTAATTTTTTTAAATAGCAAGGTACCCCTTGTGACATATCAAATAAAAGAGCATTGAAAAAGAAAATGTTTGATGAAAAAAAATTGAAAATCGGTTCATAAATTTGTGAGATATTCCCCCCCTCACCCCCCCCGGAACTTATTTTTTTTAATAGCAAAGTACCCCTTGTGACATATCAAAAGAAAGAGCATGAAAAAAGAAAATGTTTGGTGAAATTTATTTTTCATTTGATATGTCACAAGGGTGGGTACCTTGCTATTAAAAAACAAGTTATGGGTAGGGGAAAAGGGGGGTGATTATCTCACAAATTCATGAGCCGATTTTAATTTTTTTTTCACCAAAAATTTTCTTTTTTCATGCTCTTTCATTTGATATATCACAAGGGGTACTTTGCTATTAAAAAAAATTAAGTTCCGGGGGGGTGAGGGGGGGAAAATCTCACAAATTTATGAACCGATTTTCAATTTTTTTTCATCAAACATTTTCTTTTTTCATGCTCTTTTATTTGATATGTCACAAGGGGTACCTTTCTGTTTAAAAAAATTAAGTTGGGGGCAGGGGGGGAAAGGGGGGGAATGTGAATGTAACGTTGAATTCAAAACAATTGGTCCCCCTACGTCAATAGATGATTCCCGCAAACTGCATATTTCTATCTATTGCGGTTTTTACATAAATAAAGATGCAAGTTTTTTAAAAAACACCCTGTATAGGTAATTTAACATCAGCAGAGAGAGGTTCCCTTGTGATAGTTGCTGTTACTGTGTCAGCATTTAGGAATAAGTGTTCCGCCCTTGTTTGTATTCCCAAGGGTTAATTATAAAGGAAATTTTTTTAGAGATGGACCAATTAGTTGTATCTCTTCTGGGTGGATGATAGAACGAGATTTTGTTAGATTTCTAAATCATTGTGTACTGCATGTCAAGTGTACAAAAGAATGCTTAGTCCACCTGCTACTGGACAACCATGAACACCACATGTCAGTTCCAGCCCTTGACTAAGCAAAAGGAAACGGCATTACAAAGCTTTTATTTCCTTCTCACTGTTCCCACAAGCTCCAACCTTTAGATACGTCAGTGTTTGGCCCCTTGAAGGCATTTTTAAATTCCGCTTGTGATAGCTGGATTAAGAACAATCCAGGAAAATCCCTTTGTATTTAAGACAATCCAGGAACCTTGTGAGATGTCTTCCCTAAAGCCTTCCAATATTATGTCAGATTCAGAGTGTCGGGAGTTTATCCTTTAAGTAGAGATATTTTTATGGATATTGATTTCCTTCCGAACTACTTCCCCGATCGTCTTGAACCCAAGCAGATAGCTGTGCCAATAGAGCAACAAACTCCCACCAACTCTACTCTTCTACTTGCAATGACGGTGGTGAATCCAGCAATGTAGGTGACCCAATGGCCCCTCCACTACAAAATATTCGAAAGAATGGAGGTGCATTTACTTCGCAACAAGCAGGCTCGGGAGCTTAACTGCAAATTCACTTTCAGTGAATTTAGGTGTATCTATTTTACAACAAACAGGGGTTGTGAGTTCCCGGTCTTCAACTTCCGCCTCTCTTCAAGACATTAGACAACAACAAGACGAGAAGGGCATACATATGCTATAGAATAGAAGGTAATCTTCAATTAAAGGTTACATTCAAATGTCAAGAAGGTAAGAAGCCAGCGAGGAAAACTTTATGTAAGGAAAAAAATTGGAGGACAGCACAAGAAATAGCACATATTGAAGTTATCATCGGACGAAGAAGATGATGTGCTATGCCTAGTCTGTGGAACAGATTTTATGACAATGTCCCAAATGAAGATTGGTCGCAATGTACGAAGTGCAAAGACTGGGCTCACACGAAATGCAGAAGTGGTTCTTCTATAATTTTCAAAATTGTGGCGCGGATAATGCTCAGTAAAATTTACATAAGCTCTGATGAAAATTGTCAAAATTTACGCCTTATTGTATTCAGTTGACTATTATTTGTTATAAATATTACCTTTTTCCTCAATAAAATAACTATAGTCAACAATGTGTATGACTTAACTTATTCTTCCTTTAAAATACACGTATGGGGCACTTTCTTATACTTGAATTAAAAGATACTACTCACTATATGGACCCTTAATGGAGGATGGAACTGTAGACGAGAATGTATCCACAGAATATAAACATCTTAAACGTTTATCTGATGGGCCAACTGAAAAATAAGGGCCAAACCAGTCTACAGGAGTCCCACAATCGCAAGGTTCACTACGACAACCAACGTCGACGGAAATATCCGTTCCAAGTTGGTCAGCTGGTGTTTAAAAGGCTGGAACCGCAATTTGAGGGATCCTGCGAAGTAATATCGGGTAAAGGGCGAAATGGGTTCACGTTTCAATGACAGACAAACCAAACTACCTGCGTAGCCATTCCATTCCTAGGCACCTCTCACATCTCCGCTGCGGGTGTGCCTCCCCTTCCTCTCTACTAACCCGGGTTGATTGTCGTCTCCTAAGACTTCGGCTTTTACCCAACTACCGTTAAAGGCATGGAGCGTGAGGTCAGCCGAGTTTCAAGCCCCGATAAGGAGAACCTAAACTGGGATGCTGCTTTAATGACCTCCACATCGAAAGTTTCCTATGACTTGTAGAACGAAGAAGATACAGCTTATGATACCAGCCGAACAGCTTATGCATCGACTCTCTTTTTCTGACAGACCTAGGGACATAACTGTCAAGTTATGTATAAACATCCCTGGCTCTTATTTTTTCATTGTGTCTCTTCATGAAACTAAGAGCCCCCTCTTCTCCGGGAGTGCTGCCTTAGATAGGCAAATGCTCTTACTGTTCCTTCGTGACGCTCCAAATAACCTTTGACAAGTTGTAGCTCCATAGTTGTAATTGGAATCCCCATTTTGCCAGACTGACTAGTTGGACTAAAACAGCCGCTTAATTTTCACTTAAATCAGTTTGCCCGTAATCCGAGGTTTTAAGTATCGCAATTTCACTTTAAATTCTACCTACAGTTGTTCTTACATAGTGAAATAAGAGATTGAAATATTGATTTATATTAAGATAATTAAGTCGGCACAAGGCCTTCAACTCCACAGTGGGGCTTAATATTCTGCCATTATTACTAAACTTAAAGTAGTATACAAACAAATCCTGTTACTCCACTCTCATCAAATGTTTAATTTGGGAAAACGTTGCAAATATAAAAATTGATTGGTGTCAAATAATATGTATTTGTTCAATAATTACATACAACGTAATATTCAAAATTCAGCTATACATAACTTTCAAAAATACGTTATGTACATTTAACCTTTTTTTCAATTTTGTTGTATTTTTTCCGTTGCACCTGCCCCCTGACCGCGGTGCCCGGGCTCTCGCCCCCGTCGCCCCACTCACTCGGTGGCCCTGCACTGTTTTAGTGCATCAGTGTATTTTTCTGTTGTGTTTTGCATGACAAAATGAGTGCTTTTGTTGTTACTACTTTTTCCCCAGGCACCACCTTGAGTTTCGTCTAGATCAAAACATACCGTAATGCTCATAGATATCAAGTGTGTTCTTTACAACTATAACTAGAGTACTACTCTCTATACAGTATATGCGGTTTAAGAAGAAACTTCCAGAATATACCAAGAATCGTATTTGGTGATCTTATCCTCATATTTATCTTCACGTTTTAAAATTGTCTCCTCTTGTATGATGCTCTGAGTAAGAATAGTGTTTCTAACTTCATCAAATCCAAAATACCTAATTTAAAATATCATTTCTCCATTATCTCTTTTATATATGCCACATGATGGTTTCTTTGTTTCAGTGAGGAGCCACTGGCCGTATACAGGGTTTCCTACATGTGGTACTCAGTTATTGGTACCACAATCACCCTAGTTGTAGGCATGCTAGTCAGCTGGGCCACGGGGTTTACAGACCCGGCCACTGTCGACCGCGACCTGCTTACTCCCGTTATACACAGGTTTCTACCAGACCCGGCCAAGCGACAAGTAAGTATAGTGAATCTATAAAACTATTGTTAGGCAACACGGTATCAACTTTAAAATTTTTATACATTTTCTTGTGAAATCAACTTCGAATCAACCGGACCAGGTTGTTACATGCTTAAATTTTGCATTGGTATGGTAAGAATCAAGCCAAAAACCTAAACTAATTTTAATAACATAGGTAATAAAATTCAGTACTTATCCCATCAAAGTTTTCAGATAATGTATATAAACCATTATTTCAGCTAATTAATTCGTGCTAACTCTCTGCAGTAACGGATTTTCTATTTATAAAGAAATGTATTACTAAATGTTTGCTTCTGTACATTAATCATTTCACCTTGTGATACGTAATATATACCAATAACGTGCAAACAACACTGTTTAATAATACCGCTCTAAGGGTCAAGGTTTTATAAATACATGTTCAATACTGATGTTATAAAACTGTTTCTTTCAGGCTAAATCACATATGCAGCTGGAAAAGAAATCCTAAAGAGAACGAGCTACATTGCCTTGTACTTTTCTTTCTTATTACAAGTTATGTTAAATACTTGTGTGTTTTTTTACTTCCTCTGCTCTAAGAGTTTAAGTTGTCAATTCTTTTTAAACAAAGACTTAGATTATGCTGTCAAAGTGGGAGGTTATGTAGGGTCTTTATCAGGAAAAACTGTTTTTTACATTATCGGTGAAAGCATGGGGAATGTGTTGTCCTAGAGATAAGTTCGGCAAACCAAAGGATAAAAATGCCACAGTCCACTCCATTGCGTTGCCTTGGCCCAAAATCTGACGTGTCTTGCATGTGCCAGGCTTCCGGGGACCATGGTATGTCGTTGACTTGGGCGTTCCTCTGCAGGGCATTGAAGAGTTGTCGCATCTCCTTGGGATGCTTGTAGCCCATTGAGTCGTACACATTTATCGGTTTATTGACCAACTGTACAGTTAACAAGACCAAGAGTACCACATGATGTCCTGGAATAAATAGGGTTACCAGCAGGACCTCCGGTAGGAATGGGTATACTCTTCGGAATCTACGAGTGGTGGCATTTATTTTTCTTCTCCCTTGGTCTGCCAGAAAAAGGGTCTCGATGCATAAGCTGTTCGGTAGACCTGGGGTATGTCGACTTCGTCATTCTACAAGTCGTAGGAAACTTTCGATGTGGAGGTCATTGAAGCAGCCTCCCGTCTTCAACTTCTCCTTATCGGGCCTTGAAACTCGGCTGAACTCACGCTCCATGCTTTTAACGGGAGTTGGGTTTAAGCTGAAGTCTTAGGAGACGACAATCAACCCGGGTTAGTAGATAGGAAGGGGAGGCACACCCGCGGCGGAGATGTGCGAGGTGCCTAGGAATTGAATAGTTTGAGATTTTTGGCATGAGCTACGCAGGTAGTTTTATTTTTCTGTCATTGAAGTCTGATCCGAGATTATTTCGAAGGATCCCTCAAATTGAGGCGCCAGCCTTTTCAACACCAGCTGACCAACTTGGAACGGATATTTCCGTCGACGTTGGTTGTCGTAGTGAACCTTGCGATTGTGGGACTCCTGTAGACTGGTTTGGCACTTATTTCAGTTCCCATCAGATGAATGCGTTGAAGAAGTTTATATTCTGTAGAGACATTCTCGTCTACAGTTCCATCCTCCATTAAGGGTCCTTAGAGTAAGTGGTATCTTTGAATTCAAGTTTAACAAAGTGCCACAATACGTGTACTTTAAAGGAAGAAAAGGTTTGTTTGTTTGTTTGTTTATTTGTTTACGGTATAACACCATTTTTACAAGGGTTGACATTACAGGGTTGACATGCTGATACAGATACAATATTGAAAGATTGAGATTAAATGAACGAAAAGTGATTAAAGAGTGAAATACAATTGCTTAGCCTAATTAAATTTTCTTCCCTTCTGCCTTTTCTCATGCTTTTTTAATTTTTTTTTGTTGTTTTGCATAATTTATTGACAGGCAGATAAGAGACTAACATTACATGCAATAGAAAAGACTTGGTTGAATAGCAAGCATAACAATAGATAAAATTTGGCAACAATAACAATCGATAATATAGGCTACTACAAGAAAACATGCGACTAGAATAACAAAAAAAGATAATACATACATACATAAATTAGTACATGCAATAGCAATACATACAATAGCAATTATAATACACCAGCAATAGCAGAAAATGATGACTAGAGAGATATGGTAGATAACATTAGAAAAAAAGATTAAATATCACACAAGACCTGGTAGTAACTTAATACTGCTTTGCTGCTACCAGGCCTATCTAGTTTTTGCTGATACAATTTTAGGGATACCGTTCCGGTATTTGATTGTCAGTCCGGCCTCTCCAGCCTTAGTCCGAGCCTCCAGATCCTCCCGCAAGTGGCTGAGCAGTTTCCTTTCACGCTTGGTTCGGTCTCTTGTGATAGAAACATTGGCGAGGGATTGGTCAAGATTCCTTAAAGTTTCGATGTTTAGATTCTTCATGATGTCCATAACAATAGTTTGTTCTTTGAAAATAACTTTTAGAGGTCTAGGACCTTTGTTAGAGGCTTTCCCAATCCTATAAGTCTTGAATCCTAAGTCTTGATTTGGCTGGCAGTATTTATTTACCACCAGGGTTACGGTAGTATTATCGTGATTGACTCTCGACTCAACATCGGAGCTATTAGATTCGACAATCCTATATACTATGATATTGCGCGAGCAGTTATTACGCTCAGCGATTTCTTCGAGGATAGTATCACAATTGACAGATTCTGGAGTCGCTATTTTCAGGGTGCTAAGCTCATTCTCAAGGGAGTCAAGCCGCTTTTCAGCCTCTAAAATCCTGGGTTCTAAAGAAGCAAGTGTCTGGTTTACCCCTGCTAGTTCGCTTTTCATAGCAGCAATGTCTTCTGGTACTCCAGCTAACTTAATCATCATATCCAACATTTTATCGATCTTGCCAGAAAATTCATCAAAACGGGCCTTCAAAGTGTTCGAGGGATGAGTTTCAGGATTAATACAGTCAACACGGTAGCAATACCATTTTTTCTTGTTGTTTGAAGATAAAGCTGCATACTCAGTGTCAGAGAGGTTGACGCACGAAGAATGGAGCCAACGACAACATTTTTTCTCACATTTTATACCTTTTTCAGAATCAAGAACCTTGTGCATACACACCACGCAAACCTCCTGACCAGGCACCAAATCCATGATTTATGTTAAAAATGTTTTTCGATGAAATGCTGACTATAAAGGAAGGTATATTTCGATGAAAACAGACTATACAAAAGAGGTCTATTACCAGGAAATTATGACTGTACTAGGGAGCTCTGTTACGATGAACTGACTATACAAGTGAGATCTATTACAATGAAAACTGACTGTACTAAGAAGGTCTATTGCAAATAAATACTTGTTTACAAGGGAGGTCTATTATTGGAGAAACAGACAATACCTGCGGGCGTATTAAAGTCTCCTTAAAGAGACCTGAAGTCATACACATTGTTTACTATAGTTTTTTTATATTGAGGGAAAAAGTAATATTTACAACAAATAACAGTCAACTAAATACAATCTATATAATTAATACGCTACATGAAACTTTGTCGGTTGAACTCCTCCGCCTTTTCTCAACCGATTTTATCCATTGACATCTCATTGGAAAGAGCGTGTCGCGTAGATTTGCAAACTGGCCTTACATTTTTGAAAAAGTCCCTTGGGATCTACCCCAGTGGCTGTTAAAGTTCCCATGTTATCCTTATGAAGAACATAATTGTTTACATTTTGATCAGCTGTTATTTATTTTTCAATTCAATGAAACACATTGAGTACATGTATTTACGATTTGTTTATTTGTTGTTTTTTTCTTTTAAATGCCTCCGACGCGACAACGAAACATCGTGTAATCGTGATAACGACCGCAGAACAGTGGCGCGTGATAGGCTTAACGATAGACAAAAAAAATTCTTTTTGTCTGGCTTAACTCATCACAGTCAGCACCTGACCCTGGACAATCTCAACTATAAGTTACAAATGCCCCCTAACACTACCCCAAAACGACTTTTCGTTCTCGATTGGCCCTCTATCAATGACCTGTGTTGCCTGTACAGCGAGGCATTTTGAGAAGGAGAAAACCGGCCGGAATACTTTAGGTTAACAATAACGAAGATAAACATGGTCTGAGTTACACACCGGTAATCTTTGAGTTGACTCTTTTAAAATGATTGCTATTCGTTTTGAAATAACTCATGTAATACTTTGCAATTGCTCGAAATCGAGCAACATGTACACTAGTAAGGCATAAATTTTGACAATTTTCATCAGAGCTTTTGTAAATTTTACTAATAATAATAAAACGTCTTTTATTTCAAGTGGTTTTCAGCAACAATACTGTTTTCAAAACTACTCAAGTCAATACAAAAGGAAATATTACAAAAACAATAATTGACTTATTAACTAACAATGCCTTAACTTATATTTACAAAAGACAATTTTTGGAGTTCAGTCGAAAAAACTTATAACTAAGTTTTTTTACATAATCTGGCAGTTGGTTGTATTTCTGAGGAGCAAAAAAGAAAAGCCCTTTTTACCACATACTAACTGGACGCGAGGCAAATGCAGCAGGCCATCCTGTCTTGTACTCCTATTCTCACATCTCTCCTAGATTTTAACTTATCTTTCAGACAAGTGGGTCTGCCTTCGATTTCTTCGAGGATAGTATCACAATTGACAGATTCTGGAGTCGCTATTTTCAGGGTGCTAAGCTCATTCTCAAGGGAGTCAAGCCGCTTTTCAGCCTCTAAAATCCTGGGTTCTAAAGAAGCAAGTGTCTGGTTTACCCCTGCTAGTTCGCTTTTCATAGCAGCAATGTCTTCTGGTACTCCAGCTAACTTAATCATCATATCCAACATTTTATCGATCTTGCCAGAAAATTCATCAAAACGGGCCTTCAATACACTAATTTTAAACATGAAAAGAATCAGCAGCTCTTATTTTAATAAATAAGCACTAATACAAGTGGGTATTAAAAAATAACATAGCCTAAAATAAATAAGAAGGATAAGTTGTCCTAAAAGTGGTGCAAAGTACCCCCGAACGACGGTTCTATAAGTAAGGCTGGAAGCGGCCACGAAGGAATTATTGTTCAATCAGTTTCAAAAACTCCAGAATAGTTGTTGGTGACCCTGTGAACAATAGCCACAGTCTCTAACAAACTAACAGTTGCTAACATTGTAATGTTTAGCAAATTTAAAACCAGCAGAACACTTGATTGTGAACTGAAATTGATTTTTACAAGTGGTTTCACAACAATTTAATCTGAAATTATATCACCAATTGTGTTATTTTAAATATTTTATTGGTCTTTAAATAAATAGTACATTGCTCCATGTATGTGTGTATTGATTGTAGTGGTCCTACTTTGCACCATTTGAAGAAATCTAGCAATTTTACAATTAAACAATATTTTGAAGCAAAGTAACCTCCTCCCATTGAAAGACTTTGCTCCAAAAAAAAAAAAATAATAATAATAAGCACTAAATTTAAAACTAATTTTAAACATGAA